GAGACATTCTTATCAGTATTTTTGTTTAAATTGAAATAAATAAAACGATATTTATTTTGAATATGGAAAATACAAATTTCTCAATGAGATATCAGGATTCCGACCATGGTACTTATTCATAGCTTTTATCAATATGCACCTTTCGAAGCCCCGTTCTGTTCGTCCGTATTCAACATTTTTCCTGCAAATTGCGATATTCGGTTTCATCTTGGCTCTGTTCTTGTTCTTCACAAAACAATTCTTAAAGTTCACAGCCATATCTTTGTTACGCTTTTCTTCGAAATAGAAGCCCTTGTAATGGGATAACTTATGTCCTCAATTACTTTGATATGAGTTATGGAAAAACTTGAAAAAGGAAAATATTCTGATTAAAGAAAAAACTAAAAAATAGGAAGGGGTTAGATTTTTATAAGCAGCAACCCTTTAATTCCTTGTTTGGTATACATTGACACAATACAGCTGTGATAGGAATAACATGGTTCAAATAATGATTTGGTTGAGTAATTAACAGAGTCGGTGATAAAATGACATTTATCACGATTTTTGTAAAGAGTCGTAATAATCAAATACAAATATTTTGAAATGAAAACGAGTTTAAGAATTAAAGGTTTAGATAAGGACAATCGGGTGAAAAAAATATTTCAGCTGTCGATATTTTTTTCTTGAGTGATTTCCGAATTTTCTTAGTCAAATGATTTGGCAATTAGCTATCCATACTGGTGTTAAAATAACATTTTGGGGCCAAAGAGTTTCTCGGACTCATTGTTTGTTTGCTTCAGCAAAGGACAAAGGAACGAAAGAAGATAGAGCATTAGTTATGACATTTGGCGTGATGAAAGCCAATACGAGTACCTAGACTATAGATTGTGTGTGACTACATGAACCAAGTACCTATAAGTGTAGTCCACTGGTGGACTAGGTCAATTATTCATAGCTTTTCTAAAAGAAAATGGCTTCATTGGTTTGTGCAATAGATTTGGCGCCACTTTCCCTGAATCTATCTCTATTGAAGTTGTTTCCGTAGGTAGATACGTCATGTCATAGCGTAGACTAAGTCGCAGACAAATGACACAAAACTAATATCAAATTAGCCTTCTCCAAAACGTAGCACTGTAAAAGTGCAATATTTGTCAAGCACATGGAAAAATGCCACAAAAAGTGTCAAACGTTCTGAGCAATGCCATTCATCACTGCAAGTCGTTTAATCAAAAATAAAGATTCACGAAGCTTGGTCACCCCCGACATTATGGCCTCCGTTAGGAAGTCATTTGTATCCATTAGAATGTGTCATGTTTTGTAGAAACAAACAATATTGAACAACTTAATAATACTACTCCATCCTCTAACGCGATTCTATTCCATTAAGAATGTTCAGAAAACGTTTATCAATGTAGATACACTTGTAATGAAATACACATTTTCATATTAACCGTAAACTGATATTTTCATATTTATTTTTTATTTTGCCAAACATCACATAAAACATGCGTTTTGACATTTTGACATATTGGTGTCTGACATTTTTACATGTTGATGTCTTGTACCAGACATCTATATGTCAAAATATCTAAGTCTGGTGTCAGGGCCAGCGGAAACTCTGGCTAGAATTGCAGTGCCTACCCTAAATATTGTGCTTACCCTAAAGTTGTTATTGGCATTCATTATACGCACTGTTAAAAGTTAGAAATCCTGCTCTATAGAAACATAGTTTCAATATTTTGCCAACATAAAAAAAGGCTTACCTATCTACCATATTTATTCCGAGGATGATAGGGGGAAATACTACTCCAACAGTGTTAGAGGTTTACACGCCGAGATGCTTATGACAGGCATCGTATAACCGTCGGCAAAATCAGAAAGAAAAAATTATCAGAAGGGGATCAGTGGTCATGTTGTAGTGTTATAGTTTAGAATTGATGATGCCGGTTTGCTAATTGTCATAATCATTATGCCAGATTTACATTTCATATTATAAATAACAAAAATAATATCTGATTTATAACAAAAATTCAATTAAAGTTTTGAACACATAAGCTATGGCAATGAATATGATCATCATAATAAAAATGATTATGTCTAATTGGCATAGAAACATAGGAATGACTTTGTAAGGGGCAGGACACTTGATAAGGTCATTTATTATTTTTGCATATGACAACTTGGGCAGCCACACTTCAAAGCGACAAGCATCATGCAGCTTCTTTTCAAATTAGCGAATAGCAATTGTGTTGCCTTTAAAATAACAATTACTGAATAATAGAAAAATCAAATTACCAAGAAAAATCGCTCAAATTGTTCACAGTGTACTTATGGAAGCTGAGCACGTTTTGCTGTACAATTAGAGGAAGTATGAGCCAGAGTACCAGGGCTTTCAGTTGACGCTAGACTGATATTTTAGAGCATGTTTTGACTCCCTAAAATAAAATTTGACTCCTTGGTTTTAAAGACAGGTTTATTTGACCTATGTTTTGACACTCAAAAATTCAAGAAGAATTCTATTTTACTTTTGAAATTATTAAATGCCAAGATTCAGCTAAAAGCCCTGAACACTTTTTATCATTTAAGGATGTAGCACTTCCAAAAACTGGAACTATCCATATATAGGAAACTTATTTGTTTGGTATGTGTATATATCTTTGATAAATCATGAAACCATTTTTGTGCTCAAACCAACATTCTTATTTCAAGAATAAGCTCTTCTGATTTTAAGCGGTTTTTGGTTTGAAGTGATTAGTCTCTCTACAATTCTTCATAATCAGTGGGAAATTGTGACTTACACAGAAATAATTAATTGGGCTCGAGTACAAAATCTGAGTTTGAGCAAGACCTGGAGAATGGTTTCATAAATATGTGCTCATGATTTCAACTCCAGACTCCAGATCAGTATACTAAACCTACTGAGCTACCTGATCGTCACTACTGTTATACATATCTAAATACAGTAGAATTCTGTAGTGTTTTGTCTGCCGCAGCAGGACATGGATCTTTAATTATTTTTGTTTTATGAATTATTTGTTACATTTATTCGTGTTGCTTTGTGGTTTTTCTTTTCTTTTCAGAGACATTGACAAAATGACACCTACGTAGAAGAATTGTAAGGAGGTAGGTTAAATTTTAAGTTTCAAACATGTATAAAACTACAGTAAAACTGTTAGATATGCATGAATTTATGATAAAGAGCACTATTGTTTGATGCACTTATATATAACCAAATAGTTACTACTAATTATAAGGATATATATATATATATATACCAATATTAAACAAACTTGAAACTGTCAAAATTCAAAATGGCTGTCAGTGTCTGGTGGCCATCTTTTTTCCCCCTTGATCAGTCTTACAACCAATGACCAAGGGACCCTGTGTATGGAATTTGACAAAGATCTGTACAGTACTTTTTTTGGAAATAGTGTTAACAAGAATTTGTTTTCTAACTTTCATTATACTATGTATAACTGATACTATAATATTTCAGAGGAACGAGGACGCCTTAAGAATGGAGTTTTGCCTTCAATATTCACTTTCATGGCCAGCCAGCCCAAGGGATAAGAGACAACAAAAGTCCCCCCCCCCACCCCCCCCCACACACAGGAAGTGGAGCTGCCACCAGGCAATATTGATGAAACTTCAAACTGAAGAAAAAATGTTGAGGATAGTTCAATCACAGTAGTCAGTACAGGGATCCAATATAACACTGGTGAATGTGGAATGTGTAGCTTTCATAACTGTTGTAACATTGCTAAAGCAGTCCAGTACTGGACTGGATTTTCTTGCATCAAGAATTATTTATATTTGATTCTCACTTCTTAATTTCAGAGCCCCCTTAGTGGACAAAAATGCCTTGTCAATATACTGGACATATTGTTTCATTAGTATAAACTACATGTACTACACTAAACATAAATAAGTCCACCTTCTCTTATTCACTCATCTTTCATTCTATAATGGTTGCTTGAAATTTAAGTTGTGTCTCCAAGTCGAGAAAACTTTTAGCAATCTTTACTGTAAAATACATAAAAAAATGTACTTTTATGTTTATATGTTTATATCAAACTACATTGATTTGGGCTTATTGCAAGATAAATTTAGATACACGTACATGTATATGTTAAATGAATATATATCTTGAAGTTGTCAACCATTAAGATATTTCTTATACCATCTTTGCCATAATTAATGCTCCTCTCTCAATAAGTACCCTCCTCCTTTTTCAGGAGGTATTTACGCCTGGTGATCATGGATTTGACGCTCACAAATAAGTCTTAAAAAACAAGGGACTTGAATGCTGTCTTGTCACAGTTTTTCTAATGATCATGATTATATATATAGTATAAGTAACCTTTTTTCTGCTTAAGCTCTTGTCTTATTACCCGAATAAGAACCCCATTTCAACAATTTTTGAGTGCCATTTGTGCTAACTACAGCAAATATGATAATATTGACAATAAAAATCTATAGAAAGTAACAAGGATATTGACCTTGACCTTTTTACATATGAGAAGCAATGTAAGTCATGAAATGTTTCACATAATATAGGTTTAGTGTGGGTAACGGACTGAATTCACAGTACTCAGTGTCAAATTCTATCTTTTGGACAAGCATGTCTACAAAAGTACATGTATATACATGTACAACAAAGTACATCATATATAAGAAATGGAAACATCTTGCTGGTTGTGATAAATGATGTGCAACCTACAAATGGACATCTTATTTCAAGTGTAGCCTTTTCATCGTTGATTCCATCAGGTGAAGCCCCCCGATATGGATACTTTGGGTGTACAAACAGTCCAGCCCTCTTCACATCATTGTTTGTTCAAATTTGGTTAAAGCTTTCTTTTCATAATTTTGTCCATGCTGAATGGCTTTTGTGTTAAGAGTCCAAGATGAAACAAGACTCTCACAAAGTTCCCCCATGTTTCGATGACAGGTAGCATGTGTTACTTCCCCAAACCTAGATGCAGTAATCCTCCACTGTCTCTCCTCCACCCATTTTTTTTTTTACTTTTCACTTGGAATTTGGTTTGGGTCTCCAACTCCCGAGCACCTTCTTCAGTAATCTGTAAAAGTATTGATATGAATGATTTTTACCAAAAAAAGTCTGAAGTTGAGTTGCAGTAAATCTGGGTCATTTTGAAACAATGAATTTTTATAAAAGATTGGTAGAAATTAAGGGCTCCAACTGTCTGCTTGCCAACCTATGACTGCATTTAAGCTTAGTACTTTCAATTTTATTCCACATTACAATTTTATTACACATTACAAAGGTCAGCTGTGCATTGTGAGACCATGTGATTTGGTCACGGTGTGATGATCATGACATTACTACAACTTTTGGCTGACTTGTGTTGGTTGTTCTATTCATTAAAAATTTATATATGAAATTTTAATATCTATGAATTGTAAAAAGTAATTGAAAATAGGAATACAGTGTACACAGGATTGAGCTAGCTGCATTACATTAAGAGTTGCGGGACTATGACTAATTAGAATGCTGTGTAATGTTTTAATGAAATAAAATTCACTTGCAACATGACCAATGACACTCAATTGTATTTCAATCTTTCGATTATAAATACCTGCCAATCTGTACAAGAAGTACTCCTCTATCTGCAGCCAAGTCAATTTGGGAAGGATAATCTTGTGATCTGGTATCAATTGCTGAAATCCAACAACTGGCCAAACACACAAATGGCATCGGGCAGGTAAACAGCAGATTGTTTGAAGTTCCTATTTCTTTCATAGGCCTTTAATCTAAAAATAATAAAAACAAAAATATGCAGTCTATAATTAGTGAGTTAAAAACAAAATCAGTCTGTAGTACTACTATTACACTACATGTGTTTAATTTCATTCCTTAATTTCTGTTATATGAAACAAATAATATAAAAAATGTCATTTCTAAAGAGACAGTCCAAACATGTATATTCTGTAATTTGTTCTCGGAGCCCCTGTGTTCCTATACATCTTTTTGTATACTGATAACTTTTGATGAGAACATTATAGTTCACCTACACACTTCTCATGCATACTGCTATTCAGAGGGACGATTCTACCCCTGAATGGTTTTCTTAATCATAAGGTGTTGCACATTACTCAAAATAACTTTATGCATATTCCTGTGATCAAATAGATCCTGGCTGTGTTCCAACAAATACACAACTGAATAACGCCGTTTTTACCTGATGTAAAACTTTTTTATCTTATGGCAAAAACCCTCAAAGTAAATTAATCACATTTTGTTGTTAATCCCCTAACACGTTTATAATCGTCAATTCCGAGACGGAGGACATCAAAAGAAAGAAGACGGTGGGATTGTTGCCGCCCCCCCCCCCCTGCTTGTTCAAACCAGGAAAAGAAGCACTGTTAAAATATTCCTATTTTCTTCACACCTTGATCTCAATCATTATTGATAGGAATGGAGATCTACGCCGATCAAAAAAATAAACGAATATAATAATTATGTATTTCGGACCCGTCCCCAAACTTACTTTCACTTTCGATGACACCGACAGTGACAGTCGATTACTCGAACAGCTGACGGGTGAAACTGATAGAAAGGCAACAATAAATGCAGCTTTTATTCAGTATGAAATAAAATATGTTTTACCTCTCAACTAAATCACTTTTTCTGCCATGGGTAGTAGCACTCCGTTTCCTCAATTCAGTCTTCAGCTTCTGTACCGACCAGTTCTGAAAACACTCGTCCGCCATCTTGGCATCGGTAGTAACCCCCTAGTACACGCGCGCCCCCTGGTGAGTAGTGTCGCGGCGGGAACCATTTAGGAGTGGGACGACTGGATCGCCCGTTGTCAGTATAATGTGACCGGGTGAGGTGTCCTGCTGGCTGTCTTCGGCAGTATGTTTCAGTGAGGTAACACTATAAAGTCGCCATCAGTTTCGCGCTATCACAAGGAGACAAACGAGAACATATCGCAGCCTCCCAAAAACACACCCTTATACTACACGCATGCATCTCGCACACAGGGGAGGCCGTCCTTAAAAGACCATAGCTGTTGATAGGGCGTTAAACAATACTAAACCAAACCAAACCTAATTAAACATATATAGGTAACCCTATAATACAGGTATTTATTTGACATTTCTAACGTCGACCCTGAAACTGATAAGGGATATTCTGAGTTGAGGGGACTTCTTAAAAAATCACACGGTATTGGTTAATCCGCTGTGCATATATATTTTGAGAAACGCCCGAGAAGAACTTTACTAGAGATGTAAGCAACAGGCTGACTTAATAATGTTCCCTTCTCTCCAATAAAATATGACGAAATTACATGTATGTCAAATGTCATGTATAGTTTAATACCGTAAGGATAATGTGTAGACAGTTTCACAAAAGGATGTTAAAAAGGGTTTTTAGGAATTTTCAGACATTATGTATTCGCAAATCAAAACAGAAAAAAACCCATTTGACTAAGTCTGTTGTAATAATAATACTAATAATATACAGTATTTATATAGCGCCCTATATAATTTGTAAAATTGCGCTTTACAACATACAGATAATAATAATGGTTATAATTGTGAAAACAAACAACAAAGGCTTGCAATCACTTTCATGCATTTAACAAGCAATGTGCACATAATTGAACAAATAAAAGGGTGGTATTTACATGACGTTTTTGCAAAGATTCTAAAATGCAGACGTGAAGAGGTGAGTTTTTATGTCCCTCTTGAACTTGGCCAGGGTATTTGACTTCCTAATAGCAGATGGTAAGCTATTCCACAACGTAGCCGAAACCCTCCCAAAGCATTTGTTTCCGTAGGTCACAGTACGAGATTTTGGGACACACAACAAAGATTCTGACTCCGACCGCAGTGATCTTGACGGCTGATACAATGTAACAAGCTCCTGTAAATGGGGGTATAATAACTGATTAAATGAATTGATGATTGAATCAATACAATTAGCGCAATTACATGATTTCAGAGTGTGGGATGATTACATTTGTGGAATTTTACAAAATTAGGATTGAATCCGTCCGAATTGCAGGAATAACATTCCTGCCGCAGAACATATGTTAAAAATGTTCATAGAGTCGCGTTTCCTAACATTAACATTCCATCACGCATAGATCACAAAGATATTTTAGCATGCGTGTGTTTATTTTTGTTTTCAGTTAATTACTAATTATTGTTTTGATGTATTGATGTTGCATTTCTCGAAGATGCACGGAGATACCGTTACCGTCTATAGAACATAGTACTGCCTCTACAATCCTATAACAGAGGCTGTGCCGCTTGTTAAATAGGTGACTTTTTATTGTGATTGGTATCCCGTGATCTGTGCGCACTGTATTCGTCTCCGTGTTTCAATCACTCAATCAATTACCATACTGTAGTCGTGCCGGTACATACAGAAATGTGATAAACATGTTGTCTCCCCTATTAAGTGCGAGCAATATAAGTTCAGCCTATCTCCTTAATCCAATCTTGTCGCTGTCAGTGAATGCCACGTCAAGGAGTGGTAAACAACCGTATGCCATTCACCTTTACTGCACCGAAAATGGCTTGTAATCTATGATTCTAGATCATTTTGATAATTTAAGGTCATTGTTTTACATACTATAACATATATTCTTGTACATCATAGGGTGAAAGACGCCACCATTCTTCATTATAGTGTCGCTGTTGCCACGGCGTTGAAATCTTAACTAAACATAAATAACAATGGCCTTGCCACACCTCAAAGGTCACTAACACATATATAGATATGTACGGAATTTGATATATGAATATGATATAACTGAATGTCAGACAGTATTACAGCAGAGCATGCAATAAATAAATAAATAAATATTCAAACGATAGCTTCCACACAACATAAGGGGCCTCATATCAAATCACTCTTTACACGATTTTTGCATAACAGTTATATTCCCTCACAGCCTGCAGTTATTTAAAAATATATACAAGCTATTAAACTGAATATAATGCAATACATGCAGTATTGTGTTTAGTTAAAAGGCGGTCTTCTAAGGTGTATCATAACCTACAAAGTATATCTTACCCCTTATTATTTTTGAACACATTTAAATATACTCTAATTAATGTAGGCGATTGGTCTAGTTAAAGAGTTTCGTTGGCTAAATTTAATTTCCTATTGGGAAGGTCACTATTGATTCTGTATCAGGTTTGTTTGTTCGGTAGCAGTTAAGCCACTAAGTACTTCACGGCGACAAAAACGGGTTATTGACAGAAATCCTAGACAGCAGTGCTCAACACTATTCCCGCCTCTGTCGTGTTCACGATTTCGGTGACAAATGGAGCACAACACCGATGCATAGGACGCTCACCTGAGACTTGTGTTAAGCTCGATTATTTCTGCACAGACTTTTACACGAGGAAATATCGACATCCAACTAGACGTTGTCATTACCAATGAAACGAAACCTAATCTTTTGTACGAAGACATATACTCTAACACTTGAAAGATTCTTTAAGTGCAATGTTTCACTGACAACGGCTGGCAAAACATCATTGACTTTGTATAATTTGAAGATAAAGGTAGGTTAGTTTTTGTACAAATGCTTTTTTTCCTCAAAATCTGTGCACTTCGTTTCTGATTACACTTCTAATTATAAGTATATTTTGCATTACAGTACACTAACCGTCTATTCATCCCTGTCTGAAACATACATACTTCTGTTTCCATTATTATCCTTTGTTGATACTTAAGAATATTTTCTAACAATGGCATACATCACCACTCTTCACATGTTCAACTGTTTTGACCAAATGGAGTCTGCTGCTGTCTTGGGTAAGAAATTCGCCTGCTTAACTGATTTATATGCCATCAGAGGTATTACAAATTCATCTTAGGGAGGACATAACGTTTATAATGACCCGATTAACCAATACATGTAGCTGCTGTAAAGTATTGAGGTGGAGACGCGGGCAAAACGTTCTTCGCGACGGGAAGGCCTAAGTACGGCCATACTCGTACAAGAGGTGATAACATAATGACATTCCGTAGTTAATGTTTCCAATGTTATAGTATTGAAATTTATTATACCTAATCTTCATAATACTATCTGATTGGATTATGTGGATCACATGACTTCAAAATGAAACGTCGTATATCTTTCTAAGCCGAGTTTCCGCTGCAGAATCAGTAGGAGTTATCACCCCTGAGTTCCTAATGACTGAAGTAAAAGCGAGTAGCTCTGATGATCTATACTACTGTACATGTGTTACTGTTCTATTGTGTCCACGTGTAATAAACTATTTATTTCGATTAGTGCAACGCGAGTATCCCCCTCCCCTGGTTACTCGGGTATTGCTCTTAAGGGTCAGGCTTATTCCCGGGGATCGGATATCATGTTTCTGTACCTCCATACCACCAGGACAATATATGTATACTAAGTATCATCTCTCTGTAATATATAATGTAAATCTGAGGATAATCTTGTTGCATTTTAGATAAGGATATCTTTCCTCACTCTCAAATCTCTTATACCGAGTGTTTTTACATCATATAGGAGCGATTGATTGTTTTCATTTCCTGCTATATTGACATTTTTAATTGCAACAATGCAACATCAAAATTGGACAGCAGCCATTAGAATGTGATATTACTGCAACATTTGTTGTATTGCGCATGCCACGTACGCGTTCGATCGTGAGACAAGACAGAAATTTCTAGCACCGTAAAAAGTGCAGGATATTTTGTCCCTAGGGCAAAATACGGTTATTGACTGTGTATGTCATTCTTTAAAAAAACACCAATTGACATATAATCTACGATGTGCATGGAATTCATTGTTTGTCTTTTAATCTCTAGGTTACTTTCGACGACCTGTGTTAATGTTAATGGTAGTTTGAATTGGGTTGATTGTGTTTCAATATCATCTGATTTATTATCAATATAAATACACTAATAAAACACCCCTTCTATGTTCTGTAGACAGCCGACAAATGATGCCAATATAATACATGTTTCATATCTGAAATCGTTCGAACATTCGTTGTTATGTGTGACCCATTACTAAAGGAAAGCTGATCGCCCTGCTATTAGGCTGGATTAATATTCATTTTAATTAATGTCTCATCACCGTGTTGAGAGGGCAAACCCACGTATACTAACAGATAGCAGAATCGAAGATATCTAGGACATATTTAAATTGTAGTGCCCAAACTAAGTCAATATTAAATGTAGTAAATATTAAATGTAGTCAGTACTAAATGTAGTCAATATCAAATGTTAGTCAATATTAAATGTAGTCAATATTTAATGTTAGCTATACAACTTGTTTCATTAATTTTGTTAGCTTATCGTTCTGTAACCTAATAATATCATATACAAATCTGACAATAAGCCGGAAACTTAAGGATCCCCGTACCACTACAGGGAAAAGAAACTATGTATTCCAAGCCTCTTCTCCCGGCGAGACTTTAGCTGTGATGAATTATTTAAAGAGAAAAGTATACCTTGCTGGTCTTTTTAGGAAAATTGATATAGATGAAATAAACCAATGTCCTACAGTTATATCGAAACGGAAGTTAACGGGAAGTACGGTATATAGGGAAAACGGCAGTGCAATGGGACAGGACTCCTTTAGCAGCAACAAACGATGTTCCAAAAACTCCTTCGATATTTATGCTATGATTGTTTATGTGCCTTTGTTGTACATGTAAGTACTCAAAACGGACAATCATCAGCGACAAAATCGGCTTATATACAAACCATACCATTAAAATAGGCATCTCGACCAT